AACTTCCATTTACCAACTAGATTAACTGAAAAACTTCATAGTTATTTTGCAGTATTCAAGATCAGGTCAAAGTAAGCGCTTTTCACACCACAACTATGCACGATACATGAAGGGAAGAGTTTAAGAGTTGACAGTAAGTAAGCAAAACAAGACGGAAAGACTGTTTGGATTATATGTAACATGCAAATTTATACAATAAATTGTGACATACATTTGTCTTCAAAACAAATGAAAATACAAAAAAAAACTGCTAAAACATTACTCTGAATGTTTAACTTCTAAACACTGCGTCATGTATTCAAATCATGCAGTATTAGATCAACCCGCTCAAAACCTGGTGTTTATTAAACATTAAGTTGTGTCCCAAAGAAGTATATCTCCTCACCTTTGTCTTTACAATGGCCATCATAAGCGGTCCATTCTCTCAATAATTATTATTCTATCATGTTTTCCATCCGAACTCCCAGTTTATTTTCCTTGCTGCTATGTTTGCGTTAAGTAATGATACCTTGTTGTCAGCTAAAACTTGACTTTTGACAGGAAACAGTTCTGTAACTTTGTTACCCTTTTGTCACATATTCACGAATGTGCAGTCTAGTTTATGACTTCACCGAAAAGAAACAATTTTCTTTGCTATAACCGCCTTTTGGTTTTTTCTATGATCTAATGTGTATATCCCACCGTTTAGACATGATGCTATCATTAGTGATCATTTGTGCGTCAGCGGCTGAATGGTAGGATGCTCACCAGTCGGGTATATGGTCTGGGTTCGATTCCCAATCGATGCACTCCTTAACCAGCTAGTAGTAACCCCGGAAAAGAGGGAAGGCTGTACATAGAGTTAGCAGCCCCATCCATTAAAAAACTGCACAACCACTACAGAAACCTCAAAAGCCTGAAGCCCTATGTTCCACCCAGAAAATAAGAAATGAAGAAAAACCATTGATTGTTTGCTATGTCACGTGACTTTGTACTTATAAAGCTTTTAAGTTAAATATAAACACCTTAAAGCCTATTTTCAGTTTACGCACGAATGAAACACATGACACACAATGAAACAAAATATTTAACAGGGTAATTCAAACATAACAATTCTGTATAAATCAGCGATTTGTTAATTTCACGATTGGTTCGATCGCGAGTCAACTAGTGAAAACCAGGGAGTAGAAAACAGAACACATCCAGAAGGCCAACACAGATCAATATATTTGTCTTTAATATAAGTATAATACTTGGGCATTGTGGTAGAGTATAACCTTATTATGGAGAAGATTTTATTTTGATAAATCACACAGTGTTGTACACTAATATTAACTGATGATAGACGAGCTCCACTGAACAGTCCTAGATTGAGACGAAACAGCTGTCCAATGGTCTCTGATCCTAAATGGGATTTTTTAGTTGATGTCACTTCATGAAGGGATTAACCCTAAAATCGATCAAACTCACACAAATCGCAAACAGCACGACTATCAAATTTATGCATAAACGAAAGAAGAAGAAAATCTCAGACAGATTTTTTAGGAACTACCACCCTTGGGGTACTTCGTCTTTTATTAAACAGATTTTAACACATTTTCTAAATATGATGCGCAGACAAATCAACAATTCCCCAGGATAACAAAACACAATCACATGCACAGCACAGTCTATCACCTTATTATGAAATAGATCCCTATTCGACAAATTTTGTAGTTGTTGTTGTTGTTGCTGTCGATGTTACTATTATACAGTGGACAAAAAGTCACGTTAACAGCCAGACTTATTGTCTTGTATATATACATATATATATATATATATATGTGTAAGTGATATGTGCACTGATTCCAAGGTGTCTAAAGGCATAACAATAACTTGGTATAACTAAGATATACTTTAGATAAGTACTTGTTGCAAATAAATATTATGAAGAAATATTTTGTTTATCGAAAGATAGCGCCCTGACAAGAAAAAGGAAGACAGAACTGTTATTAATGTGTTTATATGATAGTAGGACAGATAAAAGCAAGAAAATTTCAATGGTTGAAACAAACATCATGGCATACTCTACAGACCGAAACATCAAATTGCTTACTATTATTAAGTAGGTAAGTAAGTAGAGAGAGAGATAGATGAACACCATCTATTTCACTACCATTGTGGAATGATGCAGAAAACTAAGTCGATGACTGCAGAGGCAGAAACATTTATTCCACAAATCTGAATTTAGTTTACGTTGTGGATTTGCGATAACCTCATTGGACAACTTATTTAACCTTGCGCCAGTTGCCAACCAATCAGAACAAGTTATTCTACTATGACCTAGTCGAATTTCAACGTGGCTAAAAATGCATGTATATGATGTTTTCCCGCTTAATAACGGTCCGTTACCAAGTCTCTTACCTTTTCCGTTACACCGTAAACCCATAAAATTTATGCCGGAATGAAAAACTCAAATTCCATAAGATTTAATTTGTGTTACAGCCAACGATTCTAAGGCCATTTTTTTTATTCCTTCACGTTCCCCAGTGGAACATAGGGCTTCAAGCTAGTGACTTGAAGTTTCTGTAGCGGTGTTTATTTTACAGGATGGGGTTGTTAACCTCATGCCCAACCTTTCCTCTTCACCAGCATTATTTCTGGCTTAGCGAGGTAAAGGAGTGCGTCGCCCGGGGACCGAACCCCGGACCATGTGCATGGTTGGCGAGCATCCTAACTGATATGCCACCGACGCCATACCGTCTACAATTTGAATTTTAGTTATGTATCACACCCTAAACACAAGATACAGACTTCTTTCTACTCCAGAAACTTACATAGATCGACCACTTTTAAGTTTCCTGCTAGCATAATCCAAATTAAGAGATAAAATGGCATTAAAAAAAAGATAAATTTCATAATTAAGTAGAATAAACTAACCCTTTATTTCTAAATATTACGCCTAACCTATATACTGTTCACATGGACGACACTAAGAAACAATAGTAATCAAATATATGAAGCTACTTTTAAATCCCAGTCTCTAATAATCATATTTTAGGGTAAAATTGAATAGAGCGCACCACCATAAAGCACACCCAGTACTTGTTGAGAAATAGATTATCTTGCCGGCGCCACATAATTGATGCTATTTGTTAAAAGTCACGCAAGTGTTTGGTAACTGAACAGTGATTTTAGTGGCTAATCTCTTAGGTGTGATATGAATACTCATTGAGACATACCACTTTTTAAGCAACAAATATATGTATATATATATATATCGATCAGAAAGGAGTGTCAGCATGTGTTTGAATGTGATTCGTTTCAAATATTTAGTCTTTTCAACACATTATTATCAATGATTATGGACTGACTGACTGACTGTCTCCTGTCCATTTTCTAGTTGTTTTGATTTATACGCAGTTTCTCTCTCTCTCTCTCACACACCAGTATTAAACGACGGATTCTTGAATATATATGAGACAAGATTTAACTGTAACCAAATTTTGGAACAATACTAGACTTTAAACAGAAACAGATCACGTCAATTATTGTACAGAATTGACAATCTAAGATATTATGAAACAGAAAGAATTGCAACTTTTGTTGTGACCTACCAACAGTATGATAATATGGAAAAAGAAATGACCAGAACACAGGTGTTAATGAATAACAAATGAGTCTAGCTGGCCTATCACAGGTTTGTTATACACAGTGCTGATGACAAAAAAGGCTTATTTCCAACTTTTTTTTACCTTCACGTTCCCCTGTGGAACATAGGGTTTCAAGATACTGACTTGAAGTTCTGTAGCAGTGTTTATTTTACAGGATGGGGTTGCTAACCTCATGCCCAACCTTTCCTCTTCACCAGGATTATTTCTGGCTTAGTGAGGTAAAGGAGTGCGTCGGCCGGGGACCGAACCCCGGACCATGTGCATGGTCGGCGAGCGTCCTAACCGCTATGCCACCGACGCACTTGTTTCTACTAAAAACGCAATATTAATGGTACTGAGATAAGATAACTGATTTCTCTCATTAAGGATTGGAGATTCTTAAAGGTATAACTTTTTTTAAAATAGTTGTTTCTTGATGAGTAAATACAGTGGATTTATGAACGCCTCCGGGTAAACGATCACTGTTGTCTCAGTGATATTTACCAGCATAATAAGTTACGTTTGATGAATCATTTGACGATTTCGTAAAATTTTATCTCATACGTTGGTTGAGATAGGGCTCTCTCTGTCTACCTATCATTTATTTCAAGTTTCTATCTTAGTGTTAGCTTGGAGAAAGCTGAAGGTGGCTCTATATACCAAGAATTTATTTCATTAGGTCATGGAGAATTGATCTGGATGGTTTTCACACGACAGGCGAAAGCAGCGTTTTGCGATACTGGATTAATGAACAAAACCCGATTATTTTGGCATAAACGCAAGAAACCAATCGATGCGGCCTGCCATATAGCTTGCTGAACTTTCTCGATTCACATGGAGTCAAAATTAATGTTCCAACAATATCAGAACACGACTTAACATGCTAAAATCTGTGGTACTATTCAACAATAATACCTTATATCAAAGATACAAAACTACCTCAACAATGCCGTCCGGCAGCTACACAGCCCAAAACTCCTCAGATGTACAACACATGTTGTACAAGAAAACTGATTAACCAAACACAACCGTAGAAATACCCGGGAATCAAGAAGACTCCCAACAAGATGGGATTTAAGATCCTGTCTGCAAGAATGAAACAGAACTAAGCCCATTTCTCCCGGATAGTCTAAAGTCGTGCAGTCACTCCACGGTGTAACTTTAGATTCATTCAAACAAAACTGAAATGGTAAAATGACACATTAATTATCAGCACCTCATACAACAGCAAAGTGAAGGTATTAAAAAAATATGGGTCAGTTAAAAACGAAGACAAACGCTTTTAGTTGTAAGTGACAATAACAAATAACAAACAGTAAATGAATAAATAGTCAAACAAAGTCTATGAGAGGTGAGGGTGAGAGAAGAAAAACCAATTGAAAAGATTACCTTTAACAAGTCTTTGTGGTACACTCGCTAAACTGCGAACAGTATCACCAGCCATTTGATTGCATTTCGACCATAGAGTTTTGACAGCACCAACTGCTTCGCTTAATTTACTTTCACATTCTACATCTGTAATTGTTTGATCTTTACCAGCGATGTCATGTTTCTTATCAATACCACCACAGTCACCAATAGCATTATCTGCTGTGTAGACAGATATCAAGAGATCATTGGATGGATTTGATGAAGATGGAAGTGGTGGTAGATTAGCCGGTCGTGTTGTATGAATCTCTACTAAAGGCCATGAACTAGCCACAGAAGGGTGTAAGACTTCCTCTTTTAAATTATTGATTAAGTCATCAAATTCTTTCTCAGTTGAACATAAAAACCCTAACACCATACTAGGATCCAATCGTTTCAGTGGCATACGTATAGGATTTTCACAATGATATGTTTGATCGTATTCTGGTTTCAAGTTACCACGACCTGCAGGTTGTGTAGTATGCGGATCTAAACAGATCACATCATCTCCGACAACGCCTACAATCCAAACAGCATGACACGGTGATCCACCCAAGATTCCAATACAATACGGTACACGAAACACAGCCTACAATGAATAATAATATGAAAGGAATTTACTTTTATCGACGACAACAACAAGAAAATAACAGGCGACATTATAAGTATTCGCACTAGTTACAATAATTTGGAAATCTTATTCAATTAGGCTGGTAATCACTATCGAATAAATAAGGAAATACAATTAAGAAAAATATACGTAAGTTGGTACACTGACAAAACAAAATTTGAAAACATTTATTTCCCGATACGAATTTAAAACAAGCAATAAAGGTTGATAAAGCAGGATTTAATGAATTCATCAAATTTCGGTAGAACTCATCAGCTGAATACTCTACATACATGGATATATATACTTTTGAAATTACATTGGGAGATATAAGATTGATGAGTAGACAAACTACATTGATTTAGTCATGCAGAAAGACAGGTACAAAAGGAGATAGTCGTGACTCTGAATCTACCATGGTAATACGTTTTACTTATTATTCTACCTCTTATTATTATTATTCTTGATTCATTTAAAACTATCCCTTATCAGTAGCATTATCTTAACTCACTTCAACACTATTATCATTATTGTTATTATAACTATTACTATTGACATCCCTCTGGTTGCAATTCTTGTTAAATTTTTTACGAGTTGGTCACGGACTGATATCAGTTAGAGAACCATTGAAAACCAGGGAGTACTGGACAGCTGCTGTTTCATCCTAGTTTGGGAATCATCGGCAGTACGCACCCACTGATGTAATTGAAGCGTAATACAATTTATCTTAATTTTCATCTCTCATACTCCCTCTACCCTTATCTAATTGAACATGACCTGGAAAAACATTCGCACCTGTCTTTCTGCATGACTAATTCAATGTAGTTTATTTACTTATCAGTCCTATATCTCCCAATGTAATTTCAAAAGTATATATCCGTGTATGTAGAGTATTCAGCTGACGAGTTCTACCGAAATTTGATGAATTCATTAAATCCTGCTTTATTAACCTTTATTGCTTGTTTTAAAACAAATTTGATCTAACTTGAGAACAATAATTATACTAAGGAAGTAATCTGAAGAAGAGTGAAATATGGAGTATACTTACATTTAACTTATATATATAACGATTGGAGGCAACCAGCAGCAAGGCGTATCTGCAACCTTGAAGGAACTCATGTCTCTTCTGGGATTCGAACCCGCGTCACCTAGTGCTTCAGCGCGAGAATTTATCACTTAACCATTTGGGTTCGCTACTAACCACTTGTAAGACTGTATTGGATACTTTGATTGAACACTAGTCAGTAAATGGTGTAGTGTGTCTAGTCCTATCTTTGGTGCAGACTGAATTCAATCAGTCAAGTCTGGTGGCCACATTGCAAACTTGACTGATAGAATTCAGTCTGCACCAAAGATAGGACTGGACACATTATACTACTTACTGACTATTGTTATATATATATATATGTGACTGGTAGTGTTCGTATTCAGATTCAAACCTATCAACCGTCGGTCCAAGTATGAAAGTGTTATGCACTGGTAAGCACCAACAGTTGTTTTCTTTTTCATGCAGTAGGTATGATCCATCATTGTTGTAATTTCTTGTTATTATTGAACCTAAAATATCGATAGCTTACGGTACTACACCATTCCGTTGAATTTCAATTTTATATCATTCGTGTGGTAGTAGTGATGGTTGATGATATAACGAGAAAATAATATTTTCTTTATTATACTAAATACTGTGTGTGTTTGTGCGCGCACACACTACAATCTGTATCGTATACGGAAACGAAATTGGCAGCATCGACTCATCCATTCTTTATTATAAGCAAGCACTGAGAGAGTTTTTATGACGGATAGTGAGACATGTTAAATATAAATTTTAACCAAAAATAAAATATCACTGCACAACCGCTCTCATTTCTATTCACTTTACAATGAGCCACACTTATGCGTAGAAGCTGATGGTGTTGACTGGTTGCCCGAATCTCGGTGGGTAGAGCACAGTTAGAATGTGTGACCAGTAGTAGTTGTAAGTTGGGTCACCCATAGGTGGATGAGTCACAGCTCAACCAAAATAAAAAATTTTGAACTACTGTTACAAATTAACTTTTTACATACCTTAATAGCATTAAAATAGCATGGATTAGGATTATGTAATCCAAGCCTAAGAGGGACAAATAATAATAACGGTCTCCAATTGGATGGGGGTGAAGTTAGTGTAGACGACAAAGGTTCATGTTGTGTAGCCGCATTACTGTCATTATTATCATCACTATTGCCTTGTTGATTCTCTTCATTTTTTACCAGTTGACCATTTTCCTCAGATTGATTATTAGTAGAATTATCGAAAGAAGGAGAAGTTTTATTGACTTCACAATTAGTTGATGATAATGTAGCTGAAGTAATATTTGCATCGTTCACTTGATTTGTACATGTGGAATTTGTGAATGTTGGAGGTAGAACAATTTCAATGCAACTGTCATCCACTTCTCTAGTCACAGGTAACTGGAGTTGAGATTGTAAACTGAAACTCACAGATATGAAATAGAATCATTATGCAATAAAATACCAATAAATATAAATGGTCACTATTATTATTATTATTACTAATAACACAAAAGAAAAGTAAGATGTAAGAGTGCAAAGTTAGTTGGAGAACATTTATCCGATGTGTCACGTTATGTGGCTAGAGCTGGCAGTAATAACCAGTCGCATAGGCTGAAATAGGTAGAGTGGATTCGCTGACTGAAAGTTGCGTGCTTAAGCCAACGACCCACATCTATCAGCTGAACTGGGCGGAATTGAATGAAAACAAACAATGAATCCAGTCTTCCAAGTTTCTTAATAGTCGTTATTAATTTACAGTTTGCGTCGGTGGCATAGTGGTTAGAACGCTCGCCGACCATGCACATGGTCCGGGGTTCGATTCCCGGCCGACGCACTCCTTTACCTCGCTAAGCCAGAAATAATGCTGGTGAAGAGGAAAGGTTGGGCATGAGGCTATCAACCCCATCCTGTAAAATAAGCACTGATACAGAAACTTCAAGCCACTAGCTTGAAGCCCTATGTTTCACTGGGGAACGTGATGGAAATAAAAAAAAAAAAATTTACAGTTTACGCATCTGTTGAGATTTTAATGATTCACTAGTTCTATGTTAGATTGCACATCCACATCATTTAGAGAACCATTCAAAACCAGGGAGCATTGGAGATTTATTTCGTTCTAGTTTGGTAATATTCAGCAGTACGCACCAATTAACTCCACTGAGGGTCCAAACCCAGGACCTTCAGATTACTAGGGGAGATCGCTGACAATTCGGTCACTGGGACGGAATCCAATGTCCTTCTGTCAGTTCATGATACATGCCACCATACTACCAGCCAATGTCATCGGCGAGTATTTGCCCTCACACCCAACCTAGTGGGCCCCACTGGTCACGACTTTTCACTATAATTCCGGGAAACTTCAGCCTGTAGTCAGTCATGGGTGCGGTGTACTGATGAAAAGTTCCAAACTACGATGAAACAGCTGTCTAGTGCTGCGTGGTTGCTAATGGTCCTCTAACTGATATGAATCGGTGATTCAACTTTAGTCCAATCAAATCCCCGCAAAAGAACACTTGAAGATTCACTGGTTGACTACAGTTCACTATAGTACAAACAATACTATTATCTATCATGAACAGATAACCTCCTGAAATAGAATAGTGTTGCGTGTTAGTTAACAAAGCAATTCATTGTTTTATGAAAGTAAACCGTCCACCTTTTATTATATTCAGTAAAGAAAAGAAAAGAAGCAGCACAAATCGATTTACCTATTCTGTGTTGTTTCTACCGTAACTGACCTATAATATGACCAAAACTACTTGTAATTATTACTATTATGCTTTGTTCTACAAATAAGTAAATAAGTAGTATGAAGAATAATAAAAGAAGAGAACAGCTGTAGCAGAATGGTATTCACTGATTTTGTGTTTCTTGCATTATAATTATTTATAATTAACCCAAATGAAAAAAGAGAGATTAATTTATTCAATATGGAATTATATACTGGTGAAACTTTGAGAGTAAATTGTCTTCAAGTATTTGTTTTTGTAGAGATTGTGTTTGATTGGTTGGAGGATTTCATCATGAGCTGACATCAGTTAGAGAACCATTGGAAACCCTGGGAGTACTGGGCAGCTGTTTCGCCCTGGTCTGGGACTTTTCACCAGTACGCACCCACCGGGGTTGAAATAGCTCAGTAGTAATGTCTTTAAATGCAGGACTGGGTGGTAAGAGTTGGAATCCCACTGGGGACATCATTTGTAGATACATGTAGCTGACAAGTGCCAGTAAACTCGAGCTTAGGTCTAAGGGGCTTCTCCCATAGATTGCCTCCAACTACATGACATCAAAGTTAAAGCCTATCACATCAAAACATGGTACCAATTCATAAAGGTAGTAACTATTCGTCTCAGAAATGTTTCAAGCAATCTGAGGTCGTCTGGATACTAAGAATCAGTGATTCTACAGCTGCGAACATGGCTTTAAACTGTTCCTATTGACGTAGATGTGTTCAAGTTCAAAGCAGTTAGCTCTTTTTTAGGATTTCGACAAGACAATAGGAAGACACTATACCATACACTTTCTACATTCTGGAGGTTGTAACCAGTGTTTATTCAGTTGTTAGCTCATTGCTTACAATTTTGATAATATTCTACTACTCTTTTTTGTGCACTGAAAGAATTCAGTCTATCTGTACGTCTGCTTTTTGAAAGGTTCTAGGAAATATTAAAAGAATTCCTTTTGAAAACTTACTCAACTAAATCTGTATCATAATTACACTTTTGAAGTGCTTCTTTATTCCAATCACAACTCTGATTTAATTCTGAAATATTTTGAACAAACGGACAACTAAACGAGGATGTTGACGAGTCCGACTCCTCTCCGGCATCAATAGCATTCTCATCAGAATTATGCATTGTTGATTCGTTCGGCTCGTTTTTATTCTCATTGTGTGACAGATCATTATTGAAATTGAAATAGGATCGACGTTGACAGCACAAAGATTCTATGCATAAAAAAGACACGAAGTTGTAAGTGTAACAATAAATGTAGAATATCTACAGACAAAATAAGGTAAAATTTAAAGTGAAGACACACTGACAACTGAACCAGAACAAGCAGGCCACAGGTAAAAGAGGCCTTATAACGTTATATCAGATAATCAGGTTCCTATCCAAGTAACAATCAATGCATGTCAAACCTATACAAGATGGTCAAGGAAACCTAATTACTAAATGGGCGAGACAAATACAACAATGGACTGATCATTTCAAAGGACTCTAGAATCGACAATCACCTGCAACTCGTCCAGAAATACCACCAAACAGAACGCATAAAACTGCCAGTGGACACCAATCCACTAACAAAAGCGGAAATCTTCAATGCGATCAAGCTACTGACAGTTGGCCGGACCAAATGGAATCCCCCCCCCCTTCGAAGCACTGAAAATGGACCCAGAGACTGCAGTAGATATGCTAACTCCAAATATGTAGGAGGAAATGGAAATAGATTGGGCTTCGCGCGCCAGGCCATTGCTCGAGTGGAATCCAGATAGGAAACGTCGAGTGGGTTGTTCGAGAGTGATATGGAGGAGATCGTGTGAGGAGGAGATGAGAGATTATGGCCAATTGTGGACCCAGCTGAGGAGGACGGCAGAAAATAGAAGTGGAAATGTTTTGTTGAAGCCATATGTATTACCCGGGACCCAAGGGAACAATAATATAATAATACATTGGGGTTGCGCACTGGAGTCATGTAAACAACCCTGAGAAAAGTAATTCCTATGCACAGAATGATTACTTAGAAGAAGGCAAACAGATAAGAAATGAATTCTGAGGAAAGAAGAAAACGAAATAATTATGATCAAAGAAGAAACTACTGTTTAACTATGAAGTGAAGAAACTTGAAGTGTTGTTTTCTTTCTATAACTACCATTGTGATGAGAGCTGGCTGCTAGCCAAAGTTGGTAGACAGTAATTGACGTTAATGTTCATGTCCCCAATATTGGTGGTGAGAAAATGAGAACAAAGGCTTTGCGTAGGCGGGTGCAGTTAGCATATGGATGATCTGACACAGTCACAAAGAGATGCAAGGTTAACTTTCTGTGAGAAACAACTAATCAAGAGACTGCATTTTCTACTAACAATAATGTACATTAAAATCTATAAATTTGTGTTGATTTTCCTTAATAAACGATCTGTTGCCTGGCCCTTGTCTTCTGTTGTTACACCATAAAATGTGAATTGGCTCATTCAGAATGCCCTAGTTGGGTAGCTTACACGTTTTTATACAGTGTGAGAGGGGATAACTATGGCCCTTATAGACTGAAACGACACGTTAGTCTGGTCACGCTGAAATAAACCTCATCACACAACTAATACAATTAGCATTGTATGCAGAGTTAAGTGCCGTTTTATTTAAGGTGTCAGAAAAATCAGCAGTTCCCTCTATTTTAGTTCCTCACTTATCACTCCTATTATTGTTACTGTTATACAGGTAATATATGCCTTTCAAAAACTCACAATTACTGTGTCTTCTGTATAGCAGAACGACTTGAAGTGATACAATGTGTTCTCAGGTTACTTAATAATTTCTTATAACTGTGAATACATTCTCAATCTGACTTCAGTAATCTGTATTTCTAGTCATAATTTTACACCCAGTCTAAAACACAAATTGTTCTGTTGGTGAAGAATCCAATGTCAAATTATTGATACATTCACAAACCTAACACTTGAGTACTGATCGGCTGTTTATTAGTGAATGTCTTTCAGACAGATTCTCAGGGTTCTGGTGAAAAGTCGTGAGTGATGACGTACACAAAGTGGACCACTCCTCATTGATAACACTGTATGTTTATACTAAGAATTAGCAGAGGTTAGAAAACAAGGGCCATTGGATTCTTATTAGGTGGCTGAGTGGCAGTGCAGTGAAATATTTGGGATTTGTGTTATTTCGTATTTTAAAATTGATTCTTAAAGGTTAATTTTCTTTTATTGCTTTTTGATCATTCAATGCAAAAAAGTAATCGAAAAAACTACGATTTTAAGTGGCCACTTATTCAGTTGCCATAAAGGAGATTTACCATTTAACAAGAAAAAGAACTAAAGAAGCAGAGAGAGAGAGAAGGTCGATGAAGTATTATCAAAAAAAGCATTTAGAAAACGTAATTTACCGAAGAGCTGTAAGATAGTAGACAAAAAAGAGAAGGAAATTGCAACTGAATGATATTACAGTAGAAATATGTGAGTTTGAGAAAGGATGAAATATTATTTGATTAAAAACTGTTGCCAATGGAAGTCAGAATGCCCATTTTGTCCTGTTTCCGACCTACTCATCAGCTGGATGCGCATACATCCATCCAGTGAGTGATCATGCTCCACGCAATCAGTAACAGCTGTTATTTATTGAAACTACTTTCAATTTCCTATTGACTTGCTTTGTTAGCATGCAGTTACATCTGGCTGCGGAGTCCAGGTACGATGAAAAGGATATCCTGAAATCCACTGCTAGCCACTATATAAACAGAATGACATCAAGTCTGATATATATAGGCGGCCTGCTTACAACTTGGGCTACCAGAAAGCTCCATCAATACGTCGCATATAATCACTCTTATTCAGTTTGTTTAAATCTAGTAAAATATGACCTCTAACAGTGCTGTTTATTCTGGCGTGTATTTAGAACGTTAACAACTTGCTGATTCTCAAGTTTCTCCTAAACTTGATAAAAAACATTATCCTGGATGGCAGCCTAATTGACTGACTGACTGGTTTCAACATAGAACTTTGCAGCAGTTCGAGTCGCCACATTCCACGGAGCACACAAAGCAAGAGAAGAAAGTAAAAAGCAACGCAAAATAGAGACAGTAAACGGAGATATGAGGCAAGAGGAAGAGTAATATCGAAGGACAATGTAATTCCACTGGGTATTGTAAGTTACAAGGAGTGGATGCATCTGCGCCAGCCATTGAGAACGATCACTTTGAGCCATATCACCAATTGTCTCCAGACATTGGTGTTTACCGTTTCGAGGACCCCAACCAGGAAGTTGACACCTTCCTACGTGGCTTAAACTAACTGTTGTGGGTTTCATTGACTGACGTAGCTATGTTTTGGTTTGACCACCACTGGCTCTTTTCCAACCTGACCCTATGTCAGCTAGCATTGCCCGTCGAGGAAGGAGATGGCTAGGCATATGTAACACATGTCCTAACCACCTCAATCGATGTAACTTCACGGCCTCGTCTATTGATTTCCCCTCTTTACCTAGCACTCGACCGAGGCCTCACCTCAATATTGCTCACCTTATTATGCCACCTCACACGGGGGAGATAGAACGCAGGCACCTATGATCAAAGACAGCTAGCTAGGCTTTCCATGTCTTCCACTTTCAATGGCCAGGTCTCACAGCCCTTTGGTCGGTAGCCGGATATCCCAATACACGAGGTAACTGTCCCTAGGTTATGTGTGTCCTTGGTTCACAGAATGTACTCCTGAATTTTCTATAATTGGCATTCAACAGAGGGGACAAAGATGAGATATTATAATGGATTGGTTTGTGCTTCAGGTAAAATAGAACTGTGTCACACTATCTACTGTCAAATAATCTTTTATTTGAAGATCCTGGACGAAGGAAAATATCATGCAATGAACTCCGCTGAAAATTCTGTACATTATATGAACATTGTTCAGAGTAAAGCTATTACTATTAATCATTGATCTCAAGGCATGGTCGACATGTCCGTCCTAGGAGCTGAGATGTCAACAGAGATCGAAGCATTTCTGTTCAATGAAATAAGTGGGCCGGAAATTTAAAGGCAATTTCAATGAAGAAGAAACTGAAATATCAGTTTATCTATTTAACGTTAGAGAAAATATTTAAACATTCAGTGATGGTAAACAGTGAATGATATTGGTTTATATTATACAAGAGTCTTTAGTCATTGGATCCTGACAGTATTTCGAGTACTCCAATGAAATAACTAACATTTGCCAATAAGTCACATACAGAAAATTTGAGACTTTAGAAAATGATTTCATTTTTGATCTCAACCATCATTAGATTTAGTTTTTCCAACCTATACCGTATGTTAACTAACCTAACTATTGATTGATTTGTTCCCTTGGGTTTCAAGTGGAACATAAGGCTTCAACAACCCATCTTGCATTCCATCCTGTTCTCCGCAGTCGTTTTTAGCTGGCTCCACTACTCCCCACAAGCTTTCATCCCCTCTTCATACGATCTTCTCCAGTGTCACCCTCGGACGCCTAACTCGTCGTTTTCCATTTGGATATCACTCGAGGGTTAAGTGAGTGATGTTATTCAACAGTCTACTCAGAGTGTGCGCAATCCATCTCCATTTCTTTCGGAATATCTGTTAGGCAATAGATTCTTGATTGGCACCTTTCCGGATCTTCTTGTTGTCAATCCTTCTGGGTCATCTGACCTTCACTATGGAGAGAAGAGTTGGATCTGTTGATGAAAATTTGCAGTTAGCCAGTTCGAAATGTTTTCGGTGATGGCCACATTAAGTCCCTGAATCATACAGAAACACTGACTCGAAAATTCCAATATTGTGATGAGTGTTGAAGATGTTCACATTGATTTCAGAATAGAGAACGCCTGTCTCGCTATTCTGATCCGATGCTGGTAGATTTTGGCATTCTCACCTGTGCCGCCGGTAAGTAGTTGAAACGATGCTGCCTAGATAAGCGAAAGAGGTGAATTCCTTCAGATTTTTCACATTGATGGTCATTAGTGCTAGTTGTTATTGGTTGGATAACTTTATCACCTGTCTTCTCTAAGTTTACACGAAGTCTTATTTTGGCGGCCAATTTTGCCAGTTTGTTGGATTTCACCTGTACACTAAAGTTTGTGTGGCATTAAGCATAAATTATCTGTGGAGTTTGGAGACAACGTATGTCCATCTTCTCACTCCTTACTGTCTGTTATATGACCCAGTTCGCCACAATCAAGAATATCATCGGTGATAGTAAGCAACCTTGTCTTACTCTCCTCTTCATTTCAAAGGCTTTGCCAAGCTTTCCGTTGTGGCTTTACCCATAGCTGTTGAATAGGGTTCACGGGCACCCCATGGTACTGAAGCATTTAACGAATTCCTTCCTTCACAGTCACAACAATATCGAAGGCTTTTTTGAAGTCCCTCAGGCTGAGGTAGACTGCTGATTTGTAGGTTTGAGGTTAATAAGCATTCTACAGTTGAATACGGGATTTAAAGATAGATATTATGGGTGATAATTCATAGTGAAATGAAAATCTGTGTGGCAGCAAAATTTTGAACCAGCCGCCTCCGAATTACTAGCCCACCCCCAATTATCTATCACCCATTACACCGATAAATAATAGTCTAAATTTCACAGCATATATAATTTCATTGAATTTCTTTCAATCGTTACTCTATCTAAATGATCAGAATTCTATATTGACTATTAATTTATTAAAATGAGGTTAATCAATTTAATTATTACTACTCAATTAAAGTATCAGGTGACAAATAATTCAATAGGATTTTTTTCAAGAAAAATTAATTTTAAATCCATCGAAAAATCAATAAAACTTAAATCACAGAAAACCAGTTAGGTTAGCATTAGCATGAAGGAAAATTATGATAATATTAGAAAGACATACAATTATTTATGAGGTTTAACAGAAAGTAGATTGTACACTATTTGAAGCAATTAGTCCCTTTAACGAAACAATAAGATGACGTGGTTGTCCAGCAAAATGTCTTCAGTCGTTGAACCCTTCTTGTAGCCTAGAACCAGATGGTTTGCCTAGCCTTATTCTTAGAAAATGTGCACATATCCTATGTTATCCTGTCATTGACATATTTAATGAATCTTTTTCCAGAAATGTCGTGACAGCCATTTGGAAGGACACTAAAACTGTACCTATACCTAGGTCATCTACTGGAACATGTATCACATTTAGACCTAGTGCTATTACCTCTCCTTTTCTAAAAACTATGTAGAAGTCGCTCTTACTTAATCTTGAACCTTCACTTAAAGTTTTCAACGATCCCGAAAAATTCGCCAATAATCATAATAGAAGTACTTTAGATACAGCTGCAGTCTTGCATCATAACATTGTCTCCAGTTTAGACAAAGGGGCTAAATTTGTTCGCTACACCTTCCTAGATTACACACCTGCTTTCGACTTAGTGCCTAGGGATATTTTGTTAAAAAAGCTTGCTGAAACTCAAACTGACTGTTGGGTTGTCAAATGGCTGCATTCTTATTTCTCAGGAAGAAAGCAGTACATGGTATGACGGGGAAAGTCGTTCGCTTCATTACTTACTGAGGCTGGTGTGTCCCACAAGGCGCTGTCCTTTCTCCTTTTCTGTTTTCTTTCTTCTTGCATGACTTGCCTCACTCTGATTAAATGAAATTTGTTAAGTATGCGGACGATCTAATTATTTCAATGTTTGTTAATTCCCAGCCAGACTCTAATAAGATGAACAGCTTTCTATCAGGAGTCTTCAGCAAATGGTTTTCGTCTAGTGGTCGTAAACCAAATCCTTCCAAATGTCAGACTGTTAATTTCAGTGTTAGATGTAAAAGGAAGTTGAATGAAGCTATTGGTTCCTATGACCGTTGTAAAATTGATGATAGTGATATGCAAATCAAGTCTGACGTTGTGTATCTTGGATTAAGTCTTTCTAACTAACCTTCTTTACACTGGTAAATAAACCGTTTTCTCCATCCTCATTCCACCAAGCTTTGTTGTCGTTGTTCTTCTTATATTTACAATCCTCTCAATTATTTGTGTTTTTGTTAATTTTGTCACAAGCGTAAACATCATTTAAGCTGCATAATAACTGTTATTTTTTGTCTTTCCCTTCACCAGGCTATATCAACAGAACACTAGATTCAACAAACTAACATGCTAAAATTTCCAAACTAAATAGACACTACTGTTTGAGATAAACTCACTGTTATTATTATTGTATTTATTCTTCTTATTTTGTACTTTGAATATTTTTGACTTTAAACCGTAAATGTGGCGAAATTCCTCTGGTTAATGTAATTTTAATTCTATTTATATTTTGAATAAATCAGATGCAATATTGTGACAAATGCTGAGAATTCCATTCTGTATTACAAGGGCTGTTTTTGGAATAGGGTAGATTATTATTACTACTTACATTACTGACACTTATAATATAGGAATTTATACAAGACGACATAGTAGCCCTTCTCTCCAGCAGACTAAATTTCCCCTTTTTTTCAATCGAAATGTTACTTTTCAGAATTTGTAATAAACATAATGACTTCGAATCTATTTCCAGTAAACTGATATAAGTATAAAACTTGGGCACTGTGGTAGCGCATAACTCCATTATGGATAAGATTTTATTTTGATAAATCACACAGTGTAGTACAGTTATATTAACTGATGACGTTTTGAGCACAAACTATTGCTCATAATCATATCAAGTTTCCAGTAATCAATCACTGAACTCAGAAGCTTAACACATCGATTCCATCAACATTGGATGAAACGAATCTCAGCCATTTTTTTAACTTAACCATCTTTATTACTGAAGTGTTCAATTGACAAGCGGTCGCCGAATTAACAGTACAGCATTCTACCCAATGAGTTGCCAGGTTTATCTGCTAAATTTGCTGTCATTTTGTTACCATTATCGTGAAGACGTTGACAAAATGCTGAGTTTTCTGAACAGCTTTGGTGAACACCTATGTGATGAAAAGCTGGTCATCAGCGTTACCCATTGCAAGTTGCTAATAAACACCATTAGCTGTCCCTCTCAGCCTCACCGGCAAAAATTTATATTTTACATTGTATATATTATTATATATAATAATAATAATATAATAAGTGAATCAACGAATTACGAAAACACTCAATGTTCAATTACTCAACAGCATTGATGTTATCAATATTCTAAAGATAAAACGCACATACAAATAACTCACTGATTTCATCTATAATAATTCCATCTTCAACAGAAATATGAACAAAGAGATTTGTCCAACGATCGTAGACAGACAATTTCCTGGAAAGTAAACAAAATAAAAACATTAAATAAATATAAGCAATTAAGATTATATTGTGATAACTTTTTATGAATAAACAAACAGATCAATAAAGATACCATGTTCATAATACAATTCAGTGCAATATATCAGTTTACTTTGGCACCCAAGTGTACAAGACTGTAGAATAAGTAAACTAGATGCCTATTCGCTTTTGTTATGATCTTGGAGGTGAGTGCTTTAACTGTTTGGAATAAGGTGGCAACATCTACAGAACCAACAGAGTCACTTTATCCCGTAGTATATAGACTGTCAGATTCGACAGAAAAAGAAGGGCGATACGAACAGTGTCTAGAAGACAGATTGTAAGAAATATGAAAAAAAAAACTGTATTGGCTAAAACAGACACCTGATTTATCTTCGCATCAATGAACATAAATCATAGCTGTCAAAAGACACAATATTTATTCAATTATGTCGCACCAAATGGCGTTTGGACAACTACGAAAAGTGTCAGCAATCAATCTGATAACAATCCTCACTCTGTTACATTGTGAACCCTTACTTCCATCATCGTTTTGGTTATTGACTAACTTTTTTCTTATCTTCAGAAACCAGTTTTGAGTAACCGTATCAATTATGTTGCTCCTATCCACTATTCAATGACATCTGGTCTGGCTGATTTTTGTGTTACGTATGCCTAGTCATCGCCTTCCTCGACGGGCAATGTTAGCTGATATAGGGTCAGGCTGGAAAAGAGCTAACGGCGGTCAAACGAAAACATGGCACCAGTCAATGAAATCTACAACAGTTAGTCTAAGCCACGTAGGAAGGTGTAGACTTCCTGGTTGGGGTCCTCGGGACGGTAAAAACCAATGGTTGGAGACAATCGGTGACATGGCTCAAAATCGTCCTCAGTGGCGTAGATACATCCACTCCTTGTGACTTATGATTTCCAATTAAACTGTTTTGTTCTTCATGATTACTATGCCTTTGTCTCACACCTCTGTTTACTGTCTTTAATATGCATTTCTCCTACTTTCTTCTCTTGCTTTGTGCTACATGGAGTGTGGCGACTTGAACTGCCGCACATTGGTGTAAAGTTCTATGTCGAAAACCGACCGACCGATTTCTGTATATTTCAGTTTGGTGTCGTTGGTAATGTGGATACCTGTGTCAAGTAAGAACTTTTAGTTACGATTACGCTGCGACAGTACGCTTGTCGGGATGGAAAGGGCAAATTTGTATGAATGCATGAATATTAAATGTGGACAAATTTCATTCTAAAATCTTCACCAAGACAAAGGAATAAATAATCTAACAATACACAAAGAGAGAAATGATGATGACAAGGAACAAAAGTAAAGGTGAAGTAACTTTTCTTAAGCTATTTCCAAATACTGGGGGGCTGTAAGGCCTTCATTGATTTCTAGACAGATTTCATCATGGACCGTTGAAAATCGAAGAGCACAGAACAGGTGTCACATCCCAGGTTAGAACTCTTCGGCAGTGAGCACTCACGACTCTATTAGGGATAGAACTGAGGACCTTCAGATTAAGACGTCCGTCCACAACCATAAAATAATTGGCAGAATTAAAATATCAGTAGTGAGAGTACATTATTATTATTGTTTCCTTTAATTCCTAGAGGAACATAGGGCTTCAGCTGCATGTCTCTATTGCGTTCGGTTCTCTGCTAGAGTTTTCACCTGGCTCCAGGTCTGCCCACACGTTTTCATCTTCACATCACCTCCTCCAAGTCACCCTTGCACTGACGACCAACTCGCCGCTTCCCTTTCGGGTTCCACTCGACGGCTTGTCTAGTGATGTCACTTCATAGTTTCCTCAGAGTATGGCCAATCCATCTCCATTTCTTCCTGCCTATTTGTTTCACAATCGGTTCCTGGTTGGTTCGCTCCCAGAGATCCCTCTCTGTTGCTGATCTTTTCTGGTCGGCCATCTGATCTTGAGTATTGAGCGAAGACAACTGTTAATGAAGGTCTGTGGTTTGTTTGAGATGCTCTTTATGACGCGCTGGCCAAGTCTCTGATCCGTATAGTAGCACTGACTTCACATTGGAGTTGAAAATTCGGATCTTATTTTTGATACTGAGTGCTGTTGACCTCCACACAGACTTGAGAGTAGTGAAAGCTGACCTTGCTTTCCCGATCCTTGTTTTGATATCCTCGTCAGTTCCGCCGGTCTGTAGTTGAAACGATGCTTCTCAGGTAGGTAAAAGAGGTTGTTTCTTTCAGGTTCCTCCCATTTATGCTGATCGTTGTCTGTTGTTGTTGTTGTTCTTGTCCAGGAATCTTCATCACCTCTGTTTTCTCTATGTTAACTTGAAGTCCTATCTTTGATGCTTCTTCTGCCAACTTGTTGTTTTTCACTTGCATATATTCCAGTTTGTGGGAAATCAGACATATATCATCGGCGAAGTCCAGATCCTCCAAGTTTCTTGTGTGAGTCCATTTTATACCTGTTTCCTCATTGCCCGCTGTTCGTCGCATTATCCAGTCTACTGCAATCAGAAAACTAATCATTGGAGATAGTAGGCAGCCTTGTCTTACTCCTGTCTTCACTTCGAAGGATTCCGTAAGTTTCCCGCTGTGGATTACTTGGCATGCAGCATTGTCGTACAGCTGTTGGATGAGATGTATAATTATCGGTGGCACCTCTCGATCGACGCTGTCGAAGGCCTTTTCAAAGTCGATGAAGTTGAGATAGAGAGGTGACTGCCTTTCCAAGCTTTGTTCAATGATGATCCGTAATGTGGCGATCTGATCAATGTATGACTTGTTTCTCCTGTTCCGGTCGAAATTTTTCATCCGGGACTTGTTTGATTCTCTCCAGGATGATGCGGCTTAGTATTTTGCTTGGGATGGACAGGAGCAGCATATTAAACGCCCTTGGATACATTCAACTTTGAAACCAACAATATTGATAGATAGCCTGCAATTTAGCATCCTTATTCAGTCGATGTGATTCAGTGTTCCTATTTCTAAATTCCTTATTGTTTATTTTAAGTAATCGACCGACTGCCTTTGTTTGAAATATGTTGCATAAGAAGATTACGCAATTTGGATAAATTGTGTCCTCATTAAAATGCATAATGGAAACAACAACTGAGGAGATAATCTATAGAATATTTCTTTGTCTGGGCAAGTTAAGAAAAAAAGACGAGAATGATACAACTTAAATATAAAAGAAACTTTTCGCTTCTTCTCTAGGAAAATAAATCTATAAAGATTGGGTTTGATTGTTAAAAATTCAATGTGCGCAGGAAAAACTTCAGATAATTATTGGAGAGAATTTCAAGAGGATATATGGAGAAGACACAGGTGGTGAAGATACCTAACCAACAACTACAACAACAAGCACCAATCACTATCAATGGGATGAATATGAAGGAAGCCCCTTTTTCCGCTTATCTAGAAGGCATAATTTCAACCGAAGGCACACGGCACGGATGAAGATGTTAAAGCCAAGATCGGAAAGGCAAGACAGTCCCTCATCGCTCTAAAATCAGTGCGAAAATTTACTGCTATCAACATTATAAAGAACGAGAGTTGGATTTTCAACACTACTGTCAAGTCAATTCTTTTATATGATTCACAGACTTGGCAGCGTCACGAAGAGCACCCGTAACAGGGTACAGACCTCTAGAAACAGCCTCTTTCGCTGGCTCTATAGTCTAGGTCAGATAGCCAGAAATAATTAGCAACAAGAAGCTATGGAAACTAACTAACCAAGAACCTGTTGCCCAACAAATATGCCGAGGAAAAAGGAAATGGATTGAACATACACTGAAGAGAATGTTGAGTGACATTGCGTGGCAAGCCGTCGAGTGGTGCCCGAATGACAAGCGACGAGTTGGGTGACATAGAGGAGATTGTGTAGGAAGATAAGAGCTTATGGACAATTGTGGATCCAGCTAAAGACGACCGAAGAAAGCAGAATGAAATGGAGGTGTATTGTTGAAGTCCTATGCCCCGCTAGGAAACTACGGGAATAGTAATATCTGGCACAGAACATACCATTTTAGGTTCTGGTGAATGAATTAAGAGTAGAAATGAACGAAGAATATACCTCTGAATAAGTCCTCTTCGGGCTGTTACAGTTACAAAATCAAACATCTGTTATCATAATAATAATAATAGTAGACAGTACTGTGTATTCAGAAGGAACATGTTTAGATATGTCGTCATCCACCTCTCCAGATGTTTCCCTTTTTTGTTCAGACAATTCTAGTCACAATGTTTTCTAATTTACATTCTTTATTCTAATAACTTTCAAACACTTCGATTTTCCCATACACACGGACAACAGCAAACTATTCCGATTTATTATTATTATTATTATTATTATTATTATTAATGATGCTGTTTCTTTTTAGGTGACTCTTTGTTTCACATACGATTATTTCATCAGCTATTGCTCGTTGTAGTCGTATGATCTTTATACCAGTCAGTCAGTCAGTCACTCACTCACCAGAAATACATTCTACAACCATCAACCATCAATTTTGTTTTCCCTTATTATACGAATTTAAGATTTATCAGGATGAATCATTATCTTCGCGCATTTCATATCATTTCGTAGTTGAATTCAGCTAATTGCATTCGTCACACAAGTACCATTTGCCTTGTACAACTTGAAACTAGTCGGATTTTAAATACATAGTCTTATTCTATGTAAAAAGAGGCTTCCACCGCATACCTGACTACTGTAATAATTAATAATAATAATAATAATAGTAATAATAAATTTTATATTATAACTGTAAGAGCCTGAAAATAACATTCCTTTTTCAGCCTGACTTTTCAGTTAGCTTTCACTAATCTTTATTTACTTACTATTATTGTCCTCATTGTGCCTATTTTTGTTGCTTCAAGTGTAACAATTTGAGCTAATACACTTGCTCAAAGTTCTACGCTGATCAGTCAACCAGTCGATAAGAATTCATCAAGAAAATACAAGACAATTCAGCGAAGAGAATTTCGTTTACCGATGAGGTCATCTTCGACTGAGTTACGGATCAATTTTTACAGCCCGCTACCGCTTTGTATCAATCCAATGGGTGTTTATCACTTCGCTTGCTTCTGTGTAGGTGGTTAATTGTGGCCGCACTGTTTGAACTCATTCCATAACACTACCAAACATGTTTGTCAAGAGGACAATGCAAGTCAATTACTAGCTCAATCACTGAGCACCTGTTGAACTCAGGAGTCATGCAGTTCCATAAGGTAGGCCTGAATGGTGAACGGGGTGTTGTGTTTCGACAGTTGCGTATAACGGGGACGCCAGCGATTCGCCAACATAATCCTGAACCATGTGGTAAGGAAAGGTATATTCGGTCTCGTATTCATCCATCAAAATGCCTAAACTCTTCTGCAATTATATTCAATGACCAATGCATGAACTCGCGCGTATGTTTAATTAGTTCCCCTCTATACGCTAAGCAATTTTCGAAGGGATTGAAGAAAAAATGTGCAGAATTGGTTCTCTCCTTATATGCAGCAGCACTATGACAAATGAAATACTTAAGATTATTGCTTTACATGTAAATTCTGTATTGAAGAGGAAATATTTTGGAACTAACTAAATATGCTGAAAGTTTCTGTGATATATGTTGACATATTATCTGAAATAATACTTTACTAGTATTGTTATTATTGTTGTTTGTTATTATTTTACTAAGTAATGCACTACTCTTACTCTGGCATGTCCCTTTTGTGCATTATACTGGCTTTTTTCATATCACGTTCTTCACACTTGTCAAGTGGACGCCTCGACCACCCTGCTTTTATTTGAATAAAAATTTTAGACTTGTCGAATTTCAAACCCTGGCTTCCGTTGTATTGGTAGTCATTATGTAGTTTCTGATTAGCTTTAGAAGGCATTCTTGAGTAATTGTGCCAATTATGCCACACATACACATACACACACATTCTCATCACTCAGCAACAGACTGCTACACGCTTTAGTAAATATATATATATATGACTGTACAACCTTTAAAAAGGAATTCATCAATACAGGAAATTCTCTTTGCTGAATTGTCTTTTATTTTCTTCAAGATTTCATTGATTCCTGTGTTATATTCACCCTTATTGAGACCTGATAAGCACTACTCACCTTTGAATAGTGATAGTTTTGTCTTGTCCTCATACACTCTATCCCTCATTAATATCTTTAAAGCTGATTTAATTATTTTTGAAGAAAAAACCAGGGGGTAGATGGATAGTATCAAGAAATATGCTTACTTGATTACTTGTGCAACAGTGTTAGGACCAAACCAACTGCCAATAGATTTACCAACTGATACACCTGTAAGTGCTATTATAAAGAAAACAACACAAGGTAGGTAAGGACAGATAAAAAGAGTTCAAATTTGTGTTATATCAAAAAAAATACATCTGACTATTCATTTTGTACGTTGAATGTTTGATTTAACACCTATAGCCGACAATGCGGAACAATGAGTTTAAAACAATTAGTTCCCTTTATGAATTTAGATAAAGCAATAAGAAGACGTAATTTGTCTGAATCGTGTAATGCATTTGCGCAACACATTTCGAACAATCTGATCACACACGGACTTGTCATAGGTATATATATGAAATTAATAAAGAGGTAAGAGGTGAGAAAATAGACTTAGGTCAAGTTAAAAGGACATATTCAAGGCAAAAGTAACAATGAAGACCATCCATCCATGCATCCATCTTCTTAAAATGTTGATTTTAGTTTACGGCTGCTTCCTATCAATCTGCATTAAGCCACAGTAGTTGTTCATTTTAAAAATATTTAGAGTGTATTGTAAAGTTTATAAAATATTTATAATTTTTCAGAACATATATTCATTTCTGTCAGTATTTGCATACTCAAACAATGTCACCTGACAGATTGTAAGGTGTTTATACGTACAGCTGACTTTCAGATTGAAGAATAACATACCATAAATAGTTTTCAACAAATTTATTTCAATTTATGAAGGACTTGTGTGTAACAAGAATATAATAACTGAATATTTTCGTCATTTACGCAGTCAGTCAGTCAGTTACATATTCAAATTTCACTTGAGCTAATTTTATTCGGTTAGGCTGGAAATCAGTCGTTAAGACAGAATTTGGGATTACAGTAAAACCAACACACAAAATAGTATGACAAATTTATGTAAATTAAAAATCCCCATAGTGTAATCAGAACAAGGCGATTTTGAGCGAACAACAATTGTTTGCGATAAATTCTTCCTCAGGCTCTACAGTTATAAATCATCAATGGATATCATAATACAAATAGCCAACCATTAAAGGCATATGAAAATTATATCGCAAAAGGTATTGGGGTACATGTATAATATGGTGTGATAGTTCGTTATTTAATTTTGTTAAATGAACATATATAAAAAATGTGCAGTCATTCCGAACATAAGATAAAGTGTGTATATGTAAATGGGTGAAATACTAATGTATATATAGTCAACGGAATATAAATATCATCAGGGGGAATGGGGGGGGGGTGAGTTATATTCATTGATTTGAGACGAAAATGGTTATAAGTTTCCAGATTGTGAAGAGGAAGTGAAGAGCCATTAAGTAGAGGAGTTGCATTAGTAGAAGGAAGGCAAGATAATAGAGATGAAGATGAAGACAAAGGTGAGTGAGGAATAGAGAGGTTTCGCGTGCACTTCGGATTGTGAGGGCGATTGTTACTTCCCGGCTGCCCACACCGTGGAAGTTGGTTGCGTGACCGCAGAGTCCAGGGGACAACTGCTTGAGGCCGGCCACACACGGCCTGTTTTTGTTTGTTGTTTTTCATTTGGTGTGTCTCAGTAGCGTATTTATCATTTCTGCCCTGTGACACGGCAGCAGAAAGCGCGGTCGTTGTTAATCCGGGCCCTGACCGATCCGGTATGATATTTTGTGATTTATTTGAAGTCATAGGATTGGATTGGGTAACTGCTTTTAGTCTAACCGCTATCCAAACAACCTTTCTGGCATGGTAGGACCTGCAGGAACATAAGTTCCAGCCAGTATAGCTTGTTGGGTCATTGCGGTGTTCAAGCCCGACCACCACGTCAAGGTAGCAGCTTTCGGTCGGGTAAGTTTCCAGACCATAGATGTTACGAATTTTCTAGAATAATTTGAGCGCCGAGTCAGACTGAATCATTATAAATTATTTAAAATAATCCCAGCGTGTTTAAGAAAAAATCAAAACAGAATTTTTCTGAACGTTTCGCTGTGTAAGCCACAGCTTCTTCAGCAGAATTATTCGGATTTTATTATTCATCAAAAAGTGGCTTACACAGCGAAACGTTCAGAAAAATACTGTTTTGATTTTTTCTTAAACATGTTATGGTTATTTTAAATGATTTATAAGGAAAATGATTACCACAAAATACATACAAACAAATACCGGAAATCGGAGAACATTGAATGTAAGTTCAAGCGAGGGCTGACAGATATCAAGTGTAGTGATAGAATAGAGGTTAAATTGTGAACTGTAATAAAATATTAGAGACATAGTAAGCTTAGTGTAAATTACAGAAGGTTGACACATAATTAAGGTAATGGAGTAAAGTGAACTAGATAAAAAGGAATAAGAAGGTATAATATCACATGAAAATATGGATGATTACGTACCCGCTGATCTTACAGTAGGCCAGGGTAAATAAGGAGGATGAATGTGTTTCTTTTGCACACATAGGTCAGGTTCTTTTTATTAATCTCTATAGCTTCCGCTACAGCTAAGAGAGTTGTGTGCCTTAAGGCAGAATGTTTGGTACTCGATATACAACCATAAATGACTCATCTATTTTGATGTGGTGTTCACTATCTACTAGATGAGAGAAAATGGCACTATTTATTGATTTGGTTACACTTTTCCCAACCCAAACAGAAACATGTTCACGAGCGCGAAAAGATAAATTCCTCTGAATTCGAAAGTTCTTTCAACTGATCTGATCAACTTACGGCTTAATATATTACTGCATATTTCACCTTTGAACGGTACTCTTAAACAAAGCTTTTCTCATTCACTGTATCACGCTTAATTTTATCAGTTCTATTGGAAATATACATATTTACAAAATTAACAGGATAGCCACTTTGTAGCAGGGTATTTTTAAGATTTTCGATTTCATCTTCAATAAAATCCCCAGTACATATGAACCTTATTCACATGCCTTCAATGGCTATTTGTATTATAATATTCATGGATTTATAACTGTAGTGCCTGAGGAAGAATTTATGGAAAGCAACTGTTAGCACAAATTTATGTATTTTTAGACATCAAGCAGGAAGCAGTATCTACTATGAAAAAGTTAACAATTATATTAAAGAATGGAAAATTACATTACTGAGAAGTTCTCAAAGTAATTGTTTTACAAAATAATATATACACACACATATAATGCTTACTTATAGTTTGAATTGAGTAAAGTGCAGATCGACGATCTTGAAACATTTGCAAAATACGATAATATTCAGGATTTTCCTGTTCAGTACTCCATTTCCAGGCTGAAGGATTAAAAAACAGTATTTTTAAGAAATATTTCGTTTAAAAAACTGCAGTATATTATGACTTTTTTGGCTGATTGGGTCGAAACGTATGACAATAGTTTTTTATAACTGGGGAAGGCAGGTAGAGATAGGGCTCACTGGGTTTAAGCACTTGGCTTGCATCCCTTGGGTTCCGCATTTGGATAACTTTCCACCTGTTTCAGCTTGGGAAACTGTGTAGTATCATCCGCATTTATACGGCAAGCATGGCTCATGAGCCAGTTTCTGTTTCAGGCAACTGAGTTGTAAGGCAATCTAGAAATAATTAACTGGTTTTAGGCGGTTTGCTTAGAAACCAAACATATTGATAAATCAGCATAGTGTGTTAGAGGTGTTAGGCAAAGATCCACTTCATAAAGACTCACAAGCACAATATCGATTGACCAATATTTTATGAGATGAATGAGTAACTCTTCGAAGTGTCCCCTATATAAATCAGTAGAACAGTTTGACTTCTCATAGAACGACAAAGCCTAATTTTGATGCAATTTTAAGCAACAAGCAGTAGAATCAGTCAAATTTAATTCACTAAATATATAATACGTGAAGTGGACAGTCACATGATGGTGAAATTTAGAATAACGCTTTCTACCCAGGACGTGCTACTAAACGATAGCTACATACCAAGTCAAGCACACAAACCTACAGAACAACTACTCCCACAGATGTACACTGAATGAAGTTTGTAAACCTAATCATAATCAAAGCCAACAATTAACTATCCTGTTAAATCACTTCTTGCTAATTTTAGTACTAATTTTGTCTAGAATGATAGTGGAGGCAGTAACATCAAACTACCAAGCTCGGACAATACGGCACCGATAAAAAATAAAACACTTCAAAACAATCCAAAACAAAGGAATAGGGAAAAATAAAATACTCCCAAACTAGAAAAAAAAAGCACAATATGAAAATAGAAGGAACAGTAATAGGAATACAGTTGTGCTACTGTGATCTAGTGTGGCCTGAATTAACCAAATGGTCGTATTGTATTACATAGTAGGGTAGATGACATGCCTTTACACTTATTTGCGTTTGAATACTTGCTTAACTAAGTGGAGGAAACAAATGCAATATGGTCAGTCGAAGGAATGTAAAAGTTAGTGAGTAATTCCAAGTGGAACCTTATCGAATTGAAGGAATAAGGTGCACTGCATGGGCATACATAGATTTTAAAAGACAAGTGGAGATGTGTCTCACTGGTCTAGAGACCTGACTTTCTATCTTATAGATCGCAAACTCAAACACCAACTCCAACTACCGTAGTTTGGGCGGCCAGGTAGTATATTTGGCCCCTTCACAACAGGTGTGTAGTTCACTGTCAACTGCATGAATATGCAAGCGGTTGTTGTTTTTTGCTTTTATGAGACACAGACAGTTAATTCACGTAACACTAGATTGTCCAAAAGTGAAAATCAAACCATTCATAATTTCAATTATGCTGATATCTAAATGCATTGGGATTAAAATATGATCAAACAGAGTGTTTGCTCGATGAGGGTTTAACGATTACAGCTTTGATTTTTTTTTAAACTCGCGAACTTTACATTTTAAATAGCATCCTTGTACAGGACAAACTACTACATAGTATTCTTTGTTTTTTTAATAACAAAAACAGCAGATCGACAGGTACATTTTTGCTTTGAGAACACTCAATGAATATTTACATAGGTATACACTTCAATGTATCGCTGAGTATAATACAATAAGTAGTACAGCAAAATTTTAAAACATGAAATCAATGATTTTACCTTAACATTTCTAAAAATCATTAAGTAATCATCTTTAATAGTGATGACGAGCTGAGAGATTTTTTGTCATAAAAATAACCATTTCAGCTGTCTGACCACTTAGAGTGGAATACAGTAAATATTGCATTTAAGACGATATAATATAATTAATTCTATAAACATCTTAAATTTCCGCAAACGTAGGTGTGACTGTTAACAAAGGACTTTAGTTTCGAACACTACAGGAAGATTAAGTATGGAACAAATTTAAATGGGCAATCATTAATGACAACATACATTTTCCAAGGTGAAATCTCAACATCGCTTCCGCAAGAACCATCTGCCCACACCGATGCATACAACCCCAACCTGCGTCTGATTTAGGCCCATTTCGACTGCCAATTGGAGAAAAACCCTTTCGGTATGTCATCCATAATCTAGATTTTAAATGATGGGCAATTTCTTCCCTGTCTGAATAAATAAAAAAAGTACAAAAACTACATTAAAAAAGGGGTTTTTCTATTAAAACCACTGTAATATCAATGAATTTTTTATTGTCTTTAATGCATATCTATATGGGATAATGGGAATATCGACGAATGATGATGCTTTCTGTACACTGCACTCTTCTATCACCAATAAGGTAGCAATTAAACTGAGGAGTAACTTCAGTTGGATAATGTGAATACATTTACAGCACAGTCGTTTATGAAAAATTCAGATGTTCTCTGATAAATAAAAACAGCACAGATTAATATCACTAGAATTTATAAAAAGTGAGTAAAACATGCACAAGCAGTATCTAAAATCATAAGTAACAATTTACCTTTGAAAGTCAGACATCCTCCTGGTATTATTTTTGTTAGAAAATCAACTGAAGTTTGAGTAAAACACATTTCATTTCTTTTGGTTGAATATAATCAAGGATTGGGGGAGGTTTTTCTTCTTATAGGCATCGTATCTGAGTCATAACACGAATGCATACGGCAGAATATCTTAAGGAAGGTCGTCGTCATTTTTCCTTAAAAGTTTGCATGCGGTGTTCATGTCTGTGGTCCACCTGAGATATCATTCACAATTCTGTTGATAACTGGTCCTTTTATCCGTTTATCAAGTTCTTCACTGTAATTTGTAAGCCAAGCAGTTGTTTTCGAACTCATAACATTATGGGATACTTGTAACTTCCTCGTTAGTAGTACTTTGGAAGAACTTTGGCGGTTTGGAAGTGCATAAGCTCGTCTTATGCTACAGATACGCAAGAAATTCTGAACAATATCCACTGACTTCTGTTCCCTCCGCTCTTCAAGTAAAAGTCTAGTCTACTAACTTTTACCATGAGGTTTTATGTCGACAGATATGGAGGAAAAAGCACGTACTACATTATAAGTTGAAGACAGAAATCTCTGTACCACTTAGAAGCGGATTAAAAGAGGAGGATGATAGTTTCTGATGAACTGTGACAGTGGAAGATGGTGGGGGAGTTCACATTATGTTTGGCTGATTTCAAGGGACAAAATCATGCCACCTTGAGCATGCATCAAATAAAATAATTCTCAAGGCGGCTCAAAGGAGGATTTCAAAGCCAAACAGGATCGAATCAGGAGAGCGAAACATGAGTTCAATACTCTGAAATCAGTGTGGAGATCCACAGCACTTAACACAAGAAAAATCCGAATTTCGAACACTGATGTCAAGTCAGTCCTACAATATGCTTCAGAGACTTGGTGCATCACCGGAAGCGTTTTCAACAGGCCATTGCAAATTTTCACCAACAGCTTCTTCATCTGGCTTAATACTGAAGATCAGATGGCTGGAAAGGACAAACAACGAGGAACTCTGTCAGGAAGTGAACCAACCGAAAACCTGTTACCCAAAAAAATTTTCAGAGGGAAATGGAGGTGAACTGGTTATACACTTAGGATACCGTTCAGTAGCAGCACACATCAGGCCCTTGAAAGGAACCTGAGTGAGAAGCGACAAATTGAGAATCATAGATTGACATGGAAGAGATAAAGTGAAGAGGAAATGGAAGCTTGTGGGTGGTGAATAAATTGGAAATGTGATGCTGAAACTCAGAATGCAAGGAATAATAGTGACAATAATAAGGATAGTTTTAGGTGATATGGACATTATGGCAGTTGGGTATTTGGTACAATTAGTACGCTACTTCAGACACCCGGGGGTACCGAATACGATTATTCGATTTAGATATGATGAACACGAAGTAGTCGTGAGCGACATATAGAGACTTCCACTAGAGGTACGATTTCGCTCTCACACCCCATCCATGCTGAAAGCAACTTACACCATGATGCTAACTGCTTTTGATCTTACCAGCAACTAGCAAACGGATCTGGCACAGTAAGAGTTGCATGAACACCCGTTGGGCCACTGCGATATGCACGCCCTAGCTCTAATTCAATGTAGGAGTTATCAGTCAGAAATTATAAGACTAAGGAAAAGCTATATAATTAAGTGAAGATTGGGGAGAATATGCTAAATATTCATGATAAAGAGTGAGGATATCTGCGGAACGGTCAAAGGTTTTTAGATAATATTACCACCCATTAAAAGGAGATTTTGAAGACTTAAGCAATGTAACGTACACGCTAAAGATGGATGAGAGTGTGGACGATAATCTGAAAACAGACTGAACTTCTGTTTTGTTTACTGGAATACAAACAATTAGTCAGTTATTTATAATGTACCATTGGTAGATTTTCTACCAGATGTGTATCTAATCGTATCCATCAACAGCAAATTACGTCAGAATAGCAGTGACTATTTTATTTTATAATAAGTTTTTAGCATCTGTTATTATGAAATTAATTCAACAAAAATGATAATATATATAATTAGTCTTTAGCTCCATCATATCTAACGGAGATTAACTGTCTCTACTACTTAAATCTGCAAACAAAATGAACTATATAACTATAGGTGAGTGTTAGCCTCCGCGTTGATTTGCTGGAGTGACATTCTAGCATAAATGAATGCTCGAGACCTTGATGCTGCGGTGAGGAGTCATGAAGCCACTTCGGAAGGCGGTACATTTGACTCTAAATGTTTTGTAGAAGTATCAGCATTTTGAAGACAACTGTTTGTCAGATCTATACAAATTGAAGAGACATGTCAAAAGAGTTTTTACTAGAAATATATCGTGTCGACTGACAGGTTCAAGTCCCTTTTCTTTAAAGCACCATATATTTAAGAAATCCCATTATGATAAAACTGACGGAAGCACTTCCCAACTGTCTAATAATATTACCAATAACAAAACTTATCATTGTGTGTAAACTATTAAAATATAATTATACTTTATTTGATCTAATCCACAATGCTCAAACTTTTTACTGATATTAATGTCTAATAATAGACTAGAAAAAACAATGACTTAGCAGCTGAATAAAAATGCCATATATAGTAGCCTATAGTGAAAAGAACCATTCCTTACAAATATTTTTCAAATGTTATGGATGATTAATTGGAAAACATTAACAGAAAAAAGCGATAAACAATTCCAAACATTCTAAAGTACACCGTTCGAATGCTTAATGCTGAATCAGAGTGGAAATAAAGCACCATACAGTGAAAGTTAAGCAGTACATTACTACAGAAATAGGGAACAAAGGGTAAAAACCGTACAATGATGATTATGAATATCACGAAACTATGCCATGTTTAGATACTTATTTTTTTGTTAGTTAAGAGGGGAATAAATAAGTTTTATGATAGCGGTTGAAAACCATAGTAAACCCTGAATACGTTATTCCTCAAAAATATTCCTATTCATTACGATTATTCATTTTTCAATCAAATTCCCTCGAGTGATCTGCTTGTAATGACACTACAGACTGGTATGTGACCAGAATATACTGAAGACCTGGGGAAGTGTATGGAAAGCAGTCATTAATTCAAAAGGAATTGTGAAAAGATTAGAAACAAAACGCAAGACTCATGTTTCACTTACCATCTTTGGAGTCATATTTACATCCCAGTATGTAAACAGGCTTCGAAACGTTTGGGAGATACGGATGGTCAGGCGATGAACCCGAGTAGTTGAATAGCGCTACAAAATCCTCGTTTATAAGGTACTTTAACAAACCCTCCCACTGAGAATCCATCATATGTCAGTCCCTCAGTTTAGCATCTTTACATTCTAGGTAGTGTAACGGCCAATTCTAAAACGCCGCCTGAAGATCAACACCTTCAGCATTTACAGGAGTAAAGAGATAGCTAACAATGATCACATAATATGATCCCTTCCTGTAGATCATATCGTTTCAGCACTTAAAAATAAACCTCCTGTTAGGTAGTGGAATACTTTGTAATCATGTTCTGTTCACTGAGGAAATTAGCCAAAGAAATCCTGGAAAGACCCAGTACCGTTTAAACCGCCTCAAACTTACATCCTAGTGCCAGCTACTTGATGCTCAAAGAGTGACTTGGTGCGGCTGTCAGTCCTGCTGCTCGCCAATCGGGAACTTCCTTAGGTGTGTGAGGTTGGTTAAATTTAAGGGTAGTTTGTCGTTTATCGGAGTGCCGCTGTGAAAACAACAAGGTTGTAGCGGTAAATAATTCTCTAAAATTATTGACCACAGCAATCATCACTGAACACTGGATACTGCCCCTCACTTTTTAAGTCGAATTGTTCGGCTGAAGGCTTCCGGTCAAGCATCCATGCCATTTGGTACTCCGTCGTGTCACGTTCGTGCACGATCACTAGCCAGCTAAGCATTCACTTCAGTTCACGATTTGGTCCCGAAATATATCTGGTAGTTTGGGCGATCAAACTCTGTTGTTTCGCTTTGCCTTCGGTACACGAGGAACGAATACTATAGAAGTTGTTGGTATTAGATCTTGCATTAGTATACTCCATACAATTCGCGAAAGTCGATACCATCAGCCTCTAAACTGATGAGCTCAACCGCAAACTTCATCTTCGATAAATAAGCATATAAGCCCGGTGAGTTCGTTCCCTCTTGTGTTTGTTCTTGTACTATATTTTAATCGGCATACATTTTGTCATAAGTGTTCCTAGTTCCAAGAACATTCGTATTCGCTCAACTGCCAAAACCACTCAGCTCGTACCGTTTTGGCCAGATAATGCGGAAACACGCCTTCAGATAGCTGAGTCTGATTTTTGTGAGCATGGGATAACCGATCAACTCTCATAGTTCCTCGCAGTTACTCACGCCATACCGCGGGAATTCAGCAAGTGCGTAACTGTGCAGATGTCGAGTCCAGAGGTAAGTAACTCGTACGAGTTGTTCAAAGCATCCCTCCTAAGGAGAAAAGTTCTCACGGATCGACAGCGTCTGGACGAATTATTTCGTAACATCGTGTTAGGTGATCAGTCATGAGCATTCTAACAAGAATGAGAGAGATTATATGCCAAAGTCAGTTCGATGAAAGAATTTTCAGAGAACTCTCCTTATCCAAACTGCCACAGTCAGTACAGACTGTACTTGTGACACTTCACGGTGTTCTTATGGATGACTTGGCTGTTTCTGCAGATAAATTTCTAGAGATAACTAAACGGCCAGTTACCGAAGTATACTCAGTTACCGAACAGACTTCGAGTAAGGATACTGCAGTGATAAAGTTATGCAACTCCATCCAGCAGATGCTTAGGTTCAACATGCCCAGTAATTCCTCCAACCGTCGTCCGAACTCCCCTCAACGACGAAACTCACACAGTCGATCTAAGTGCAAGCCATGTTCACTGAAAAACCAAGACTGGTGCTGGTATCACTGTTAATCGCGACAGATAGATAGACTGTATGATAAGCAGCCAATCAATATTATGTGACCTTTTTTGGCGCGATTATTGGCCAATTAATGTAACACACCACGTGATGGTGACCTTGAATGTTCTTTTTTGTCTGTCACTCTACTTGTATATACATGTAATTAATTGACTGTTCATTTTGTCCGTACCTTCAATACTGTTCGGTACGTTTTTGTCCGTTTTTTGTAATGACGGTGGATTTGTACATTTTTCTTGGTGTAATTTTATGATTTATTTTATGTTTTAGAACAGATAAAGTTAAAGTCAAGTTATTCTGTTTTAACTATAGCTAAGCCGAGACTCTGTATCGTCAGTATTGAGGAAGGACTAAATCTGTAGGACAAAAATAATCCTACAAAGTTTCGAACAGTATTGCAGACGAAAGTTTCGAACAGTATGGCAGACGAAAGTTATGAAACTATGCCGTCGTTAACTCCACAGTTAGAAAAGAGTAATGAAGCTGATTTCCCTGGAAGCAACGAGAATAAATCACATTATATGGTAGAGCTGGAGCTAGCGAAAATGCGTATAGTCCAAATAGAGAAAGAAATTGAATTGGAAAGATTACGACAAGCTAGTCGTGAATGTTCTAATCATAATAAGTCACCTTGCAAGCCTTCTGCCTCGCATATAGTCGCTGTATCTTCTAACGATGAGCTCGCCAGAGCCATGTCCAAGTTTCTGGACATGCCTAAAAGAGAGATCATTAAGTTTGACGGTAATCCTGTAAATTATTGGAATTTTATAAAGAATTTTGAAGACTTGGTGGATAATGATGCCATTTGATATCGAAGTAAGCTAAATTACTTGATTCAGTATTGTGAAGGAGAAGCCAAAGATATAATCAAACACTGTGTTTTGTAAGAGCCAGAGGAAGGTTATCATAAAGCCCTACAATTGTTTGAGGAAGCATTTGGGCAAAGACATTGTCAATGGACGTGAACATTGAACGTTTGTTTTACTGGGTCTGGCAGCCATTGGCAGGCAATTCAAGGCGCGAATGGAACGATCGCTTGCAAGTTGAAGGAAGACTGGATTTCAATACGAATAAAAGTACTTTATAACTTCATTTGTACTTAACATTTGTTTGCAGACTTTGTAGTTTTCTTCAATTTAATTGCCAAACAATATAATTTCGTTCGAGGAATACTGGTGTTTTGGATTTAAAGTTGAAGAAAGCGCATAGTATTTATCGGCTCAATCGCTTAAGTCTTCATTACGATAGGAACTTAGGGCTAAGTTCCTTGACAGTTTTTTATTCTTCTCCAAGTCTTCGTGGGCGCCTTCTGGAAATCGTCTGGGTGTACTTACTAGATCTGCAGCCAGCTTCTCTTTGGACAAGGATTATCAACGCAATTTGGATTCTTTGGTGACGGATAATGCCTGGGTCAAGAAAGGGACATGGCACAATGGAAGCAGACAAAAAAGTAAGTCACGATGAGTTGCCTGTTAACTGTAATGATATGTATGATGCTCAGCATGTTAAGTTTGGTGTTCATGCGTCACCGTTAAGTGACAGTAAGGGTTTAAGACTGCCTAAGTTTGAACCGAGATACTTCGATGGAAACCCAGCCGACTACCCACAGTTCATTAAAGAGTTTGAGGTCATGCTGAGTGGTTTTGTATTGAATGATGAAATGAAGTTAATGTATTTGTTGAGATATTGCACTGGTGTAGCTGCAAGAGCCATACAGTGCTGTAAGTTTATGCCCCCGAACGAAGGATATGATGAGGCCATGAAGATACTCCGTCAGAGGTTTGGAAAACCATATATGATATCCCGTAGTATTTTCGAGACGGTGAAAGGTAACGGGTCACAGTTGAACGATAATGCAGAGGAACTTGCAGAGTTCTTGGATAATTTGATGGTATATAGAAATACACTCATGTCTTTTAACTGCGTAGATGAATTGAACTCAAGTTCCGTGCTTGAAACTGTTGCCAAGAGATTACCTGTTCGTCTACAAAGGAAGTTTATAAAGGTTTGTTCACGTCTAGAGGAGGAAGGTTTAGAGCCCAGGTTGGATGACCTTGTGAGCCTGGTGAAAGACAGTGTCAACCAAGCTTTGAGCAAGTTTGCTAGTATACTGCATCCCTCCCCTGGAATAGAGAAATCGGAGAGTAGAATGCAATCATTTATGACGAAGGGGTCTCAGTGTAGTGGATATCGAGAAAGCTGTATGGTGTCTAGTAAACCTAATGATTGTGGCAGCTTTAGCGAGACGTCCCCAACGGATAAGTTACAAGCTGCGAGACAAACACGGCTGTGCTTCGTCCGTTTGCAAGAAGTGCATGCAAAGGCGAACTGTGAAGCAACGAGCAAGTTTTGTGGCAAGCTAAATGTGAAGTCAGCGTCATCGTGTTCTGACTCCGAATCGTGTGACGATAATGGTGCGGTGAAGAAGCCTGTAGTTGTAACTGATAATCCATTGTTGAAAAGAGTGTCTCAGACGACACCGCAGTTTGTGCATAAGAAGAGGGTTACAGTTTCAGTGTCCAGTTCTGACTCCACAAGTTTACAAGGTATTACTAGTCAGAGTAAAGGAATAAAACCTTTAAGGATTCATGAGGAAGAACCTGAGTCATCTACGGCTGTTATTAAAGAGTGTGAAAATGATGAAGTCGATCATACAGACGGCGGTAAAGTGGGTATTTGTGACAATGGTCACGGTAGTTCACATTTATCTGTGGCTGATCATGATGAGATTAGCAGAATGCCTTCTACTACTGAGTTGACTAAAGGTTCTGTACAACTTGAACGTAAAGTAGAATTAAAGGCAGATGCGGTTGCTGCAGATATGGATACTCGTGAGGCCGTCAGTTTAAGTGATCCGAGTGTAGCCCAACTATCGACAGATGTTAAAACTGAACTGGAGCCAATAATAAAAGATAGCAGTGGTGGTAATCCTGTGGTTAGACAACCTCCTAAAGGTCTAACAACAACAGCTTCTGATACACCGCTAGGTTCTTCAACTGGTGTCAGCCAGTCGTCGTTGGTGTTGTCATATGCAGTAAAAGAGCCGTCCATGAATCAACGTGTCTTATGCATTGATTATGCTAGTGTCGGTCCGTTCGAAGGGACGAAAGTCAATGGCCAGTTTAGTGACGATAAGCCAACTGTGTACAGGGTGGTAACTGTTAGACTGACTTGCACGAATAAAGGCATTTCATGTTTCAAACTACTATTTGAATGTTATTATCTTTGGTGCAAATTACTGTGTACATTCGCTTGGTTGGTCAGATACGTCGTATGTTTGTTAGTCATCTACCTTCCACGATACAATGTCATGGGCGTGTTACCATTCAGAGTCGAGGATATAGATGATGGAAGGAGGTCAGCAAATGAGCTCAACGACGATTTTCCAACTTAAGGGCGTAAACCTGAGAAGGGTTGTAGGCGTACTGCTGTAAGTCCTACAATTCTTCAAG